AAGGTTTAATAACAACGAAAGATTAACAGCTTGATTTGGAAGCAACTGTAATACTATTTTACACTCTAAAAAGTTTATGCCAAGACTGACAAGATTTGTTGCTATTTTACATCTAAGGTTTTGAAAGGCAAATAATTTTCAAGCCTCAATGAGTACTTGAATTTAGGTAAAGTCCACTTCTTCTTAGGGATGGCAATGGGGCGGGGCGCTCTCACCCCGCCTCGCCCAAACCCCGCCTTAGATGGGGGAACGGGACAACTCTTTGTTCCGTTTGTTGTCCTGTTTAATTTTTTTTTTTTTTCAAAATTTCGAATTATGTTATTATTAGAGGATGAAATACAAATTCAAAATGGATTTTAACGGATGAGTTGTCTAAAAATAAAATTATTTTTAATTATTTTTTGTTATTTTTTCCTTCATGAGGCGGGTTCAAGGCGGGATGGGTTTTTCTTCCCCATTCGGGATTAGGCGGGTTTTTTTGCCATCGCTACTACTTCTGTATCTATCGTCATCACCATCCACTCATCTTTACTGTTTAATTTTCTTATTCTCCCACATCTAGCAATGAAGGGATTGCAATTAAATCCTTACCTCTATCACTACCTCCACCTCTACAATTTAAACTTCAAATAATGATGATGGAACTTATTACCACTCTAAAATGAAATCCCCCAATTTCATGAACATCGGCCCTCCATCCCCAAGTCAATCTGTCTTGGTAGTCATCACTCATAATTACTTAACAAATTCAAATAATAAGTGACAAAAACCAGTAACAAAACATCAAAAGTTGATATCAAATCTAATTACATGGAATAAACTCATCTAACACGGAAATTAACTAGTAAAAGTAACTTCAAACAATATCAAATTTCTAAATTCTTGGTATGCTAATATGAATCCAGCAATGTAAAGTGAAACACCTCCTGAATTCTTACATATATTCATGTGAATCTACAACCTTCCACACTCTAGCTCTCCACAATCAATAAAAAAAAATTATATCTTATCCATCAAATTGCTTTAAATCTAGATAATAAAAGACCAAGAACTGAGGGAAATAAGAACCTCTTGAACACCCACATCAATGAAAGATTCGAAAAAGTGTTGGGAGAAACGTAGACAAGTAGATACATAACAAAATAATCCTCTCCCTTAAAGCAAATAAGCAAAGCATCCTTCTACAATTAATATGCTAAAAATAATTTAAAGATAATCAATCACACCAAGAATACAAAAAAAATTTCATGCGAAAAACTTCCCTAGTGTGAGAAATAAAAATTATGAGACCTAATCCAGTCAAAACCTTCTCAATCTACCAAATGATAGGTGCACAAAGTCTTCTCTAATTCAACTAGAAGCTGTCTCATATATTCATCAAGATAATGAAAATCTCATCGATACAAGAAAGAATATATCAATATATCATGATAATTTTCATGCATACGAATCACTATTCCCAAATTCAAAATTTGATCTCTTATGTATGGGTTGTTGCTTTCTATTTTGTGGACCTCTCCTCCAAATTGTAGCTCGATCGGACAACATATGACTCCGAATAAGAGTTTTGATGAAATTTGGGCACATAAAAATCCTATTTTCTTTTCATTTCGTTTGGGAAAAATGCCTATGGCTTTTTTCCTCACATGTTCATGTATATAAACTCATCAATATGGTTTTGATCATAATGGTCTTTAGGCTATAGTAAAAGACCTCAAACTTGGGCTTTCCAGGAATCCTTCATCCCAACGATCGAACAATAATTTTTAAGGGCATGTTTGATACCATTGTTTTTCCATGAAAAATGGAAAAAAAAAAAAAAATCAATTTCCTCCCAAAAATGCATGTTTGATGGCACTCAAATTCCATGAAATTGGTTTCTACTCCCCCCAGTTGACTAATTTTCTAGGTTTTTAAGGGAAATCAATTCCTTTGGTTTTGATGGGAATTGGATTTTCCATTATCTTTTTTGGTAACGGAAACAAAAGCTATCCACAATTGTAACAAATTATATCCCTTTAATTAACAAATTTAATGAAAAATAAAGTCAAACGAACACCAAAAGATCCAAAATCTCAACATTGTTCAGGTGAAAAATTATACCAATCAAACACATTTAATTGATAATTCTTAGTAAAATATATTTTAGGCAATTCAATTGTCTAAAATTTGTTTTCTTTCCACCCAAATATTATTCTTACAATCAAATGGACCCTAAGTTTCTTGTTTAATAGTGCTTTCATTAATGTATCAGGACTATTATGATCGGTTTGAACACTGTTGGACAGATTGCAAATCGATCTTAGAAAACACCTTAGTCCCTTTCAATTGATCAAACAAATCCTTGATTATAGGGAAAGGATACCTATTATTGATGGTCAAACGATTCAACTCCCAATAGTTGATACACATCCTCATACTTCCATCTTTTTTTTTTTAGGAACAACACTGGTGCGCCCTATGGGAATACGCTTGGTCGAATAAAGCCACTATGTTACAATTTTTGTAACTGGATTTTCAATTCCTAAAGTTCTTTTGGGGCCATTCTGTATGGAGTTTTAGATACTGATGCCACTCTGGGAATCAAATCTATTGTGAATTTCACTTGTCTATCGATGGAATACCAGGTAGATTTTCTGGAAACACATCTATAAATTCTTGTGCCATTGATATGTCCTCAATTTTTATCGTTGCCTATTTTTCTCCTTAGATGTTAACTAGAAACCCTTGAGGCGTTTATTTTCTCAACATTTTCTCAGCTTGTAAGGCCGATACTAGTTGGAAATGGGATTTGGTCTTTATTCCAGAGAAAGAAAATTGTTCTTCTCCTAGTTTCTGAAAAGGCACTTTCATTTCTTTACAACGAATGGTTGCATAATTATATCTTAACCAATTCATACCAAAAATCACATCAAAGTCTTTCATCTCTATCACATACAAATAAGCTTCAAATGTTTTTTCTTCAATTTTAAGATTCACCGAACTAGCGAATTGATCTGTGTTCAATGTTTAGCCTGAAGGAATGCTAATTTCTAGTACTCTCTGACTTATCACAATTAGTACTAGATTTAGCAATGAAAGATATTGATACAAAAGAATGAGTAGCTCCTGAATCAAACAGTACATAAGTAGATGTATCAAATATCAGTAATATACCTGCTATCACATTTGAGTTCTCCTGTGCATCCTTCTGAGTCATTGTAAAAACTCGTGCTTTCCCATTCTTGTTCTGATCATCTTTATCATCCTTCTTTTGAGTAAATATGGGACAATCCTTAGCAATATGTTTTGGTTTACCACACCGAAATAGACATTCTTCTCATACACTATTCGCTACGATAAGCCTTACCACACTTAGGACATGACACTACTGCAGCAACTATGGCATTACTGGCACTAGATCCGATATTAGCTTTCTTATTTTGCCATTTGCCTTTTTCT